TCAGCAAACTTTTTCTGACAAGAGCCAGACAGTAAGTATTTTTGGCAACCTGGGCCTCCCGGTCCCTGTTTGAACACAAAGCTGTGCTTTGGCGCTGAAGGCAGCCATCGACAATGCGGCAACGCACGGAGTGGGCTACAGAAACGATAGGATGAGAAAGAGGTTTATTGTGAGGAATTGGGGCATGTGACTAAGGAGACGGGTGAGTCCCAAATTTTCTTTCTCGTGAGAGAGTCCCCCCACCTCCTCCACCAGCCACGCTTCCCTCACTGGCCTATCAGGCAGCCGCTAAGGGAATGCTTCCGAAACTGGGTAGTGTGGAGGTTTTTTCTCTGGAAGGGCTGTCAGGAGGTCCTCCTTCACTGCAGGCCACGCAGGCCCTCCTGTGGGGTCTGCATGGCTGCTGCCACCCGTCGAGCTCACCGAGGGGTTTGCTTTCTACCTCTGATACCGATGAACAGCCGAGTTCCTTTTCTTCTCAACTCATCCCAAATTAGAGACAACAAGCAGGCAGGGCTACCTCTGATGTATGACTTTCAAGCAAGTCCCCATAGCAAAGGAGAAAATACTCCTCCGGGACCCATCTGACATCGCTTAGTAACTTGTTCATTTCACAAAAGGACGGAAGTAGGATTTCTTAGGAAAATCTCGGGGCGGATGCGTCTCTGTTAGAGTCACCTGTTAACCCAGAGCGATCTGGTCAGGAAGCCTAACTCTCGCATGTCCAAGCTGAGTGAGCTTCTTGCTGAGCCTCAGTCTTGCCCACTTCATATTGGGTATAAAGACACTCCCTTCTGAGTTGTTGTGAGGATTAGAATAATGTGTGGAAAGTAGTAAATCACTTACTGTGTGCTAAATACTCCATACATGATCGCTTATTTAACTCCTATGCCGACCCTCTGAAGCGTTATTATTAGCCGTGTTTTATAGTAGAGAAGGACGAGGCACTGCAGAGGTAGGTAATTCTCCCCTGCTGGCTGCTCACCGCCCGGGCCTGCTTCCGGGTCAGGGTCAAATCAGAGGCCTCGCCTCTGCTTTCTCACCAGCTGTGCCCTTCCCACCCTGCGCTGCTTCCCCAAGTTGTTAGAGGTGTGAGGCAAACCAGAGGTTGCAAATGCAAATGTCTATCGGGTGCTGAACAGGGACAGACACGAGGGAAGCCACAGGGTGGGGACGAGGTGATGGCGCTGCCTGTGTCCCCTCCGTGACTGTTGCCCGATGAGAATGCAGGCCTGATGTCTCCGTGGCTTTCGATTTTTTAAAGACGAGTTAGACATGGAGACTTTTAAAGTGTAAAAATCTGCCAATTTAAAAATATGGGCGACAATTTAAAAAATCATTCCCTGTGCAAATCAGAACACCCTGTGCCCACTGGCGGAGCTTGACCTGCAGGTGTGGCTGGGTTGCGCCTCTGGATGCTGTGCTGAGCTGTGGGGAGGTGGCTGGAGGCCTCAGCCCCACTTGACCCTGCCCAACCCCCAATTTCTGCATCCCTTTTCTTGAGAAAAAAGGTAATTGTGTGGTAGAGCCAGCACAGGTGACTGGGGGAGCTCAGAGGGGCACCTAATCCAGACCGAGTTCCTGAAGCGGGCAGCTGAGGCTGGGCTTTGAAGAACAGGTAAGGGTCAGCCAGGTCAGCGGGCGATGGGAGTGGATGAGTGGGGTAAGAAAGGTGTTCCACGTGGAGGGAATCACGTGTGCAGAGGCTTGGAAGACGAGTCGCTGGTTTTGGAATTGCAGGTGGTGTGATCAGGCCTGGGTCAGCGCTGTGCATTCGCTGGGGTACCATGGACAGGGGGCGTGGTCTCGCTGTGCCTCCATTTCCTCATCTGCAGAATGGGGAGAATGTTACTCCTACCCTCATGGGATTGTTATAAAGCCCTCTTACACTAAGGTGCCTATGGCATAGGTCCTGGCACGCCATGCGCCCTGGGCAACATGAGCCCTTCTCCGTGGGAAAGCCCTTGAGCCCCCTGCTTCAGGGCGGGCCTCTCAAAGGTGATGGAGAGCTGGCATGCAAGGCAGGGCGGCTGTCAGGCCGGCGGTTCAGGATTGTCTTCTGGCTGCCATGTGGAGGGTGTCTTGGAGGCAACATGAGGCTGCCAGGGGAGCTAGGAGGAGGCTGACGTGGACCCCTTGGGCAAGAAGCAGGAAGCTGGGGAGGGGTGTGTTAAAGGGGCTGGGACAATACACCTTGGGTAAGGAGGTGAGCTCTGGAGCCAGGGTACCTGGGTACAAATCCCAGTTTGGCCACTTTAGAGTCAGCAGGGGTTGTAACTCAGTTTTCTCATCTATAAAGTAGCATGACGGAAGCGCTCATACCACTGGGTTCCTGTGAGTGTAAGTGAGTTCATCCTGAGAATTGCTCAGAACATCCAAGTGCTTAACAACCATTAAATCAGGTAAAATTATTATTATTAAATATAAAGGTCACAGATGAAAGGAAAAGATGCTGACACTGTTTTTGCCTGGGACAAAGAGATCTCCAATCAGGCCTCCTGCAGCAGCCACGGTGCGTGGGCAGCCCCCGGCCAGCAGTGAGAGGGTGGTGCAGGCTTCCTTCCCCAGCTGGTTAATTCACGGCTAACCTCGTAACAGGCCAGCCCACCCATCGCTGGTACCAGAGAAAACATGAGCTGCCTGCTTTGTATCCTCCTGTAAGGGCACAGCTCGCTTGCCTGGAACCTAGATCCACTCAGCAGCTTACAGGGTGTGAGAGAAACTCCAGGGCAGGTGGGAGATGTGGGATGGACACACATCACCTCCCTCCGTTTTCTTCTCTGAGCCTCCCTGCTTAGGGGAGCAGACATTGCCCGGCCAAAGAGAGGCAGATGGACCTGAGTTCTCACCTTTAATTGCTCTGCAGCTTCAGGAGATTTACCAAGCCTTCTCTGAGCACCGGTTTTCTCACTTATGAAGTGGAGACAATGATGCCCATCTCTCAGAGTTGGTGGGTGGACTAAGAACAGTATACAAGTTAAAGGCCTGTGCATAGGGCCCTCTGGGCCTCATGGAGGGTTCGGCTGTTAGTGAGTCAGCTCTTCTAGAAATTGTGGTCATGAAGGGCACACGTGTAGGTGGCCCCACAGGACGGCCTTGCACCCTGGCTTCCATTTGCTGGAGGATGGGCAATTCATCGGACTGGAAGCGCCCGCTTCCCTGGGGAGGCATGAATGAGGCGATGGATGTAGGGGCTTAGCTCCAGGCCTGAAGCACAGTAGGGGCTTCATAAATGGTGGCTGGGACCACCATCAGGCATGCTTTGGTGCGGGGACCTACTGTGGCTTCTGAGGAGGGAGACCTCTCCTGGGCTGCAGTGTGGTGCTCTGGGGCCATGTGGTGGGATCTTCTAAACCCCTAAACACATGAGCAGACGGCAGTCTGCGGGATAGGGGCACTCGGAGGAGGAGAGGAGGTAAGCCATCCCTGACAGCGGCATGAGAGGTGCCAGGCTGCAAGGACCAGGCAACGGGGCGGGGGGAGCCCTGCCCCGAGTGGGTGTCTCAGGGGAACTTCCCGTTTCCGGTTGGGAGAACTGCTGTGTGCCCCCATTTGAGTGTCTTGGGCCTTGATATTTGGTTTCTAGGGAGTTAACTATGAAAGGGATAGTTTTTAGCAGACTCTTGTGAGACATTAATTCATCTGCCTAGTATTTAGTGAGGGCCTCCTCTGTGTTGGTCAGGGTGGTAGGTGCTAGGATACAGCAGAGACTATGACCAATGGCATCTGTGCCCTTAAGGAGCTAACATTTCCGTGGGGGGATGATAACAAACAACAACAAACATCAAATGATAGGACAGCGTGAGGTGGTGATGTCTGCATAGCAGGGCGACATGAGAAAGACCTGGACACATTAAATACAGGGCTCAGCAAACACCTCCCTGGTGATGGGGCATTGGATTCATGTGATTACAAGAAGGAACGATCCGTGGGAAAATCAGGACGCAGTCCTGCAGACAGAGGCCCAGAAAGCGCAAAGCTCTGAGCGAGGAGCCGGCACAACGTGCTTGAGGAGCACGGAGAGAGTCCTACAGGGGCGCAGACCCGACACAGCTCTTGCTTTCGTGGAACCGAAGTCTGAAGTCTCACACAGCTACTTACCAAATAGTGGAATGTTTTGATGGAAGGGGCACAAGTTACTTGGGTAATACAAAAGAGAAACTTCCCATGTAGCCTAAGGGATCAGGGGGAGCTGTCTCGATGATGTGACATCTAATCAAGGACTTAAATGATAGGTAGCAAAAGAGGAGAGGAAGGATTTTCAGGCAGAAGAGAAACAGGATGTGCAAAGGCCCGGAGGTGGGGCGGGGCCTGGTGGATTCATTGCAGAAACTGCAAGTAGCTGCATGTGGTTGGAACCCAGAGCTGAAGTGCTGGGGTGCAGGGGTGGGAGAAGGTGGCGCTATGGCCAGAGTGAGTAGAAGTGTGGGGGTGGAAAAGGCAAATTCCAGAGACCTTACACAGCAGAAAGGACAGGCCTGGGGACAGCCCGAGCAGCGGGGGACAAAGGCAGGTGACGGAAGCCTCGGAGAACTCAGAAAAGAACTCAGATGGCAGGGTGTCTTCTGGCTGGGTGGGTAATCAAGGTGAGTTTTGAAGGACAACTGACTCAGGTCCAGTCCTGGCTCGTCCACTGCCCGGCTGTGTGAGCAATCACTCCCCCTCTCTGAGCCTCAACTTCCTCATCGGCCCAATGGCACAACCTCCTTTAAGAGCTGTTGTGCAGATTAAATGGGAACTGTGTAGGAAAGCTACTGGCACATGGCAGAGTCACTCAATGCACGTTCATTCCTTTCCTTGACCCTTGGCCTTGGGCACCCACCATGCCTCTCTGGGCCTCTGTTTTGTCACCTGTAGCATGGGAAGCAGAATGCTTGCCTTGGGTGCTCCGGTGGGAGTTATGAGGCGACTGCAGGCTCAGGACAGACCGCACAGGGTAGGCGATCACAGATCTCATTATCTTCTCTTTCTCCCTCCCCAGCAGGAAGAACCAAGACAGAATGGCGTGGCAGGGGCTGGTGCTGGCCGCTTGCCTCCTTGTGCTCCCCTCCGCCACAGCGGACTGCCTGTCCCGCTGCTCCCTGTGCTCTGCGAAGACCCAGGACGGGCTCAAGCCCATCAACCCCCTGGTAGGTTTCAGGCAAGGCTCCTGGGTGCCCAGGCTCTGGGGGCTGTGTGTGGAAGGGACTGTGCGTGTGGAGCCCGCAGAGGGAAGAGGGCAGGCCTGGGCAGTGGTGTGCCTGTCTTGCAGACTCGCCCCACCTGTGCAGGGCATGTCCTGCTCTGTGGCCAGACTGAGAGCCAGGGACTGCTGTTTCCTAGCTCCCATGTCTTCTCCAGACCTCACCAGCATGGGCTGACTAAGGCCAGAGACAAAAACTCGGGTGTATAAGGAGTCTGGTGCCTGGCAAAAAAGGAGCGGCCTTTATAAGCTGTGGGGATTTCGGGAGTCAGCAGCCTTAGAGTAGCTTTCCAGGGCTTCTTGCCACCTGGCTGATGGGCACCTCCAAATCGAGTCACTTCCCTGGAAGGAACTCTTTCCACCACCCCTAAATACCAGGATCTGGTAGATAGGATCTAAGCCTTGACCCCTCCCCTTGGGGGCAGGTCCCAGCCTAATTGGCTTTGCTTTGAGTCAAGCTTCCCCAGTTCCTGTCCTGTGACAGCAGACAGTCTGGAACAGAGGTACCAAGGGGCTGGTGGCCAGAACGCAGCCTTGGTTCTGCTACTTTCTAGCTCCATGACCTTGGAACCCTCTCTCCAAGTCTCAGTTTCCTCATCTGCAAAATGGGGGTGATTCCATGAAATGATAATGCAAAATATTACATTTACAACTCTAGCCGCTCTACTGAGATGAACACAGCTTGCCAGGTGCTGCCCACACATGATCCCAGGAAAGAACAGTGGTTAAGCATGAGGACTCATGACATTAGACTGTCTGGGTCCAAGTTCCAGAATTGTCCAGTATTGCCATCATCACCATCATCATCATCATCATCATCATCATCATCATCATCATCATCAAGTTTGAATTCTCCCAATACTCCTGTGAGGTAGATACTGTTGTCCCCCAGATTTGATGAACCCTGAAGTGTCCCCTCATGTGCTCTTCCCACCACTCTGCATTGCTCCTGTCCTGCTGTAGCATGTGTCTGCAGCATGCTTCATACCTAGGAAAGGTTGGGAGAACCAGCCACTCTTTTTGGAGTCAGAAGTGGAAAGACGGAGGAGCTCAGCAGAGCACTATGGGAAGACCTTACTTCCAGTTTTGGCATTGCCACCTGAGGCCCTGTGCCCCGGGGATAGCTGCTTCATATTCCCTCATCTGTTTCCTCATCTCCCACATGGCACCAAGTCATCTACCTTTATGCATCACTAGAAACATTAAAGTGGGCAGCCCGGGGCTTAGTGATCACAGCTTATTTTGATTTTCTCAGACATTGGACAGAGGATTTTCTGGGGCAGAGGGTACATATGCTTTGACAATTTGATGGAGGTGATGTTACTACCGTGGTCTTTTGGGATCTTTTGCAGATTTGCTCCCTGGAATGCCAGGCTGCCCTGCTGCCCACTGAAGAGTGGGAGAGGTGCCAGGGCCTTCTGTCCTTCTTCACCCCCTTCTCTCTTGGGCTTAATGGTAAGGAAGACTCAGCGAGCAAGGCAGCTTTCGAAGAGGCCTTTAGTGAGCTGGCCAAGTACGGGGGCCCGTTCCTGAAAGAGCTGGAGAAAAACAGATTCCTTCTCAGCACCCCAGCAGAGGAGAATGCTCGGAGCAGCAGCCTGGCAGAGAAGCTCAGGGGTCTCTCTGGTGGGTTGGAGGAGGGGTCAGAGTCAGAGCTCATGGGGGACACCCAGCTGAATGATGGTGCCTTGGAAGCTGGCACACTGGATTCTGATGAGGAGGACCCCAAGGAACAGGTCAAACGCTATGGGGGCTTCTTGCGCAAATACCCCAAAAGGAGCTCAGAAGTGGCTGGGGAGGGGGAGGGGGATGGAGATGGGGTGGGCCATGAGGACCTGTACAAACGCTATGGGGGCTTCTTGCGACGCATCCGTCCCAAGCTCAAGTGGGACAACCAGAAGCGCTACGGCGGTTTTCTCCGGCGCCAGTTCAAGGTGGTAACTCGGTCTCAGGAGGACCCCAATGCCTACTCCAGAGAGCTTTTTGATGCTTAAACACCTGCCCATCATGGAGGTGGGTCAGGAGCTTCCCCCAGATTGGAGTGCACTCATCCTTCCTCCTTGCATTCCTTGTCCTCATGCTCAGTTCAGCATTGTCAACAAAGCATCCAAACCCAGCCTGCCTTTCTTCTGCCTGGAGTGCAGTGTTTGTCTGGGGTACGTGAGGGAGGAGGATGGAGGTCTCCCTCTTCAGTGGGCTTAGTGCTTGGCTCAGACCATAGACCTCTAAAGCAACCATTTTTCATATCAACTCCTCCACCCCATTCATGTGACTCCCCAATTCCAGAAATCCATGCTGATGTCTCCATCTCTCTAGACCCATTGTTTCCAAGCTTTGCTGATCACATGTTCCTCTCTGAAGAAAAGTAAGCATACCTCCCATGCAGATATATTCATTTAGATAGTATATACATATATAGTAGAACATAGAAAAAGTAGAAATGTCAACTAAGAGAAATAAACAATAGAAATTGTAATATTTTATTCCCAAACCTCAAAGGTCCTGAGCGCCCCACTTTGAAGACTATGCTTTAGGTAAAACGCTCAAACATGGCCTTGTATTGGAGCAGGAGTTTCCACACTAGAAAATTCAGCCTTCTAGTAGATTAAGTGTTCAGTTAGTGTACTTTGAGTTTTCATTGTTCAGAAACATATCTAGAAGAACCGAGTTTCTGGACTTCAGCCCATGTTAGTACCCTGGACAGCGCCCAACTCACAAGAGAGGAAAGGCATAACAACCCCTTCCCTACACGGTTGCGGAAAGCAGTTCTCCCTCTGAATGCCGAAATGATCAAGGAGGGAGCAAGGCAAACCAATTTGTTCTGTGCAACAAACTCAGAATGTGGACCAGTTCCCTCAGCCCTCATTAAACTAATTAAACTGATCAGTATCACACTCCCACCCCAGGATGAACTGAAGCTGAGTTGAGTTGATGAGGTTAAGCGCAACCATGTTCTTGAGCAGCTGAATCTGCCACCAAGAGTCCGAGCCATCTGGCCGAACATATGCAATGGGCATTGAGTAAGGGAACGAGGAGCAACAGTGAGAAAGCAAAAAAGGCCCTCCTCACCCCCCACCCCATGATGATTCTTCCCTCTTAATGTCAAAATATTAATAAAATCAGAAGAGGAATGGAATGATTAAGTGTTTGGTGCCAAATGAGTTCCCTTGATGCAAATATCTCAGAATCCGAAGCAGAGGTCTCCCTATGCCTTGGTTTCGATCAGAGCTCCCTCTCTCTGTGTCTGTCTGTCTTGCTCACGTGTCCCCAGGCACTGTGGTTTGGTTTGTGGGTCCAGGAGGCTGCTCTGGGTAGAAGAGGAAATGGACTTGAGTTTGGTTAATTTGTATAAATCCTACTGAGCACAACTCTTCATGTGCAACTCTCAGCACTATCATGATGTTCTGAAATGTATTGATTGTTTTAGGATTACTTTGTGGGCTTTATAAAAAATCCCATTTATGCAATTTACTTGGAATTTGCATAATACTTAATAGGCCTGTGTTATTTCCCACTCCTTCAGTACAATAAATAAATAAAATTGTTGATGACTTGGAGGCTCTGTGTATGTATGTCTCAGTCCCCAGAGAGTAAAAACACCATTTGCAGAAAAGAGTGCTGAGAAATGAAAAATACACAGGTGCACACGTGCGCGCGCGCGCGCACACACACACACACACACAGTTTTATGGTAGAAAACTAAATGTGAAATAATAGAAAGAGCATAGCCCTAAGTCTGAGATTTGTGTGACCTTGTGTGAGTCAGTTGGCCTTTCTGAGCCTTAGCTCAGTAAAATAAAGACTGAGAGTGCCAACCTTGCAAGATGTCAGAGGGACTAGGTACAATCATATGTACAAAACTCCTAGAACATAGTAGGTGCTCAGTAAATGAGGGTTTCCTTCCCTACATTGTCTTTTAGGACAGTGGCAAAGCTTAAGCACCCAGCAACACAGTGGGGAGAGCAGAGGGAGGTGCTGCAGTCTAAAGTGTCAGGGGCTGTCTCCTATGCTGGATGACCAGGGAGGGAGAGAAAAATGCCCCTGGACAAGGGTGAGTGTGCTAGGCATGAAGAACTCTCTGGCTCTGGCCTGGTCGCCCAGTTGGTTAGAGCGTCATTCTGATACGCCAAGGTTGTGGGTTTGATCCCTGGTCGGGGCACACACAAGAATTAACCAATGAATGCATAATAAGCGGAACAACAAAAATCAACTTCTCTCCCTCTCTCCCTTCCTCTCTCTAAAATCAATGTATTAAAAAAAGAGCACTAGAGTCTGGGTGGCAAAATGTCCTTTACTGAAATGACATCCTTCATTAAATGGCATAGATGAGATGTCTTTAAATAGGGCTAGTGTGAAGGAGACACAGTGGCCACAGATGTTGTGGGTTCCATTTGGACACTGGCTTTCTAAATCACTTCCTAGAAAACATGGGGTCAGTGAGGGTCTTGTTCATTCTCTCATTCATTCAGGTAATTGAAGGCCTACTGTGTGGTAAGACTTTTGCTAGGTGCCGGAGATTCTGGCAATTAAAAGGGACAAGATCTCTGCTCTTATGGCACTTATTGTCCAGTGGGGAAGACAGAAATAAACAAAATTATAAATCTAAAATTAAAAGTAAAACTAAATAGATTGAAAATAAAATTTAATGTAATTGTAATTGTTGTTAAGGAGACAATTGGGATTTATTAATAATGGATAATAGGAGTCGGAGAGGAACCTCCCGGGGTGTTCAGGAAATATTCCTGAGGAATATTCCATTCTGGGTATTCATGGGATCATCCAGCTGAAAGGAACCTAAGGTCAGGGTTCACGTCTCCATCCACGTACCCCATGCCAAAACTGACACATTGAAAATAAATTTTAATTTGTTTGAATGCTTTCATTGACTTGGATTTCACAACATAGTGCTACTTCTTAATGATTCAGTGTTGAAAAGTTTCATCTTTATGTTGGATTGAAATTTAGATTTCTCTCACTTTTGTGTATTGGGTCCTGTTCCTGCTGTCCGCTGGCCCAGGAGCTCCTCTAGAAAAGACTTTTCTGTTAGTTGCAAACAAATGGCTCCTAACTATCTCCAGTAGTTTGAAGAAACAAACAAAAAGCCCAATAATTTATTGGTTCATATAAATGAAGAATATAGATATCAGCTTCAGGTAGAGCTTGATCAAGGGGTTAAATAAGGACACCAGGGCCTCTCCATTACTAGGCTCTTTGCTCTCTGTGTTGGATTCATTCTAAGACTCCACATCTCCTATGATGTCTAACAGCAGCTCCAGGCTACACCATGTAGGGTCAAGTCCAGCAAATTCCAATCAAAGTTTTGTTGCATGTTCATTGGTTCTGATGGGGTCATGTCCAATCCTGAGATAATGCCAATCACTTTGGATAGATTAACACAATGCTACCATTAGAGCCAGGGATGGATTCAACCCAACTCCGAGTGGCTGGACGAGGAGTAGGAAAGGGGGTGGTTCTCAAGAGGAGAATTGGAGCATGGGTCCCTGTAGGAGAAGGAGTGAATACCAGACCACCAAACAATAGATGGTTACTGTCCTAAGGAGTGAAGGTGGCTGCGTGGAGAGTGGGGCAAAGTGGAGGCTGTATACCATGGGAACACGGGCCCAGAGTAGCCAGATCTGATTTTTAAGAGACTGCAGAAATCTGGGCTCGTATTTTTTTTCAGTGTAGGCAAGTAATTTGTTTTTAAAGTATTGAGCAGTTTGGGATGAGACACATTACTCCCTCACCATTCTTTAGCGACCTCTTTTTTAAATGAGAAACACTCCTTTATTTATTTTTAAAAAAATTTTCCCCATATGGTATGGATTCCAGAATGCTATTGTTCCAGAGCTCCTTTTCTAGACACATTTCACTTGGTCATGGACGTAAGCCCATGTAAGGTGGACAGAGCATGGTGAGGGGTCGCAGAGACCTGGGCTCAGGTCCCCCTTCCCTGGGGGACTCTGGACAAGCCACTGCACTTCACTGAGTCTCAGTTTCCAATCTCTCAAATGGGGAGAAAAACGCTGAATTCCCAGGACAACAGCGAGGATTTAGTAATATAAAGTCTAAGACACACTGGCACCCAAGAAGCGCATGACACAAGGCGCTGACCCCTCTTAAAGGGTGGTGCCTCGGATTATGGTGTCCCAGATGCCACTGCAGTGAGGCGCACGCCTGTCAAAAGGACAAAATTCTCCAGGTGATAAGAAAAGGATGAAATTAAAAACATTTTTATTGACTAAGTGCTGTAATGTGTATTTAATCTTAAGTGTGTGGCTCAGTGTATTCTTATTTGCGTCTACAGCTCTGTGACCCCCCACTCAGACCACAGCATAGAACATTTCCAGCACCCCAGAGGGGTGATTATTTTTTTATGAGCTGCTTGTGGGGATGGAGAGCAGGCCAGAGGGAGAACTGGAATAAAAACATCACAGGCCTTGTAGAGCGCTGATTCTTTGTCCATGTGTCCAAGGCCACTGTGCAGAGATCATAGAGTGGGCATTGGTTAAGGGATGCCAACATCCCAGTAACCTTAAAAGAGTGTGCTACTAATAAGCACTCAGTTTCCACGACAATGCTGTACACTACTGCCAGCGAGAAAAGTCTTGTCATAATGATCATGACAGTCATAATGATCCCTCGGATTGATCACCCCTCCTCTCACCCCCAACTCCAAGCCCTTCTTAAGAACTAGCCCAGCAATGGGGCTTGTCTGTTAATTAAAGGCCCCACAGCGAAGACAACAAAAATCCCCACGACAGTGTCAGGAACAATGGTACCCTAATAGATGTCATTTCATCATTCTTGATTCATGTCTTCTCTTATTATAGCTGTGGAGATTTATAACAAAGGTTTATAATCACTCTTCTAATATGTAAATGTGTACATAAGTTGCACTCCCTCCCTCTTTGTCTTGTCTTTGTCTAACTCAGACCAAACCCCATTATACTTGTCCCCAGGGCTCCCCTCAGCCTTAATCTCCTTTGACGTGACATTTGCCATCTGAAAATGCCTACCTGTCTC